TCTCGCTGAGATGTCCTTGGAGCTGTGCACATCGACACGTTGTTCGCTACCAATACAGCATATTCTTAAATTTTCTTTTTATTCAAAGGAACTTATATGGCGAGTTTTAAACAAGCAGTATTTACCTACTTCTTGTGTCCAATACATGATCACACATTGCATCTAGTTGATCACCTAGTAACTACATATGTTGATACAGGATTGCATGCTACTTGACCACAAGATTTAACATTGTGTAATACATCGCTTTTAACTAGAAAAATAAAAGAAATAAAAAGAAACAATAAAGGGAAAGGTAAAATCTAAACATAGAGAAAAAAGAAAGAAAAGTTAGATTAAACAAGAAAGGTCAGAGAGAGAGAGAGAGAGAGAGATGAATTTTGGAACTTATAAGAGATTATAGGATTAAATGGTGTCACTAACATTTTCTTCATTTAGCTTTAAGTGTCTTTTATCAAGGACCCAGGGCATGTATTTGGTGTAGCTTATCAATAATAACTACCAAAATTTATTATATCAAAATTAGCAAGCGATTGTAATAGACACTCACCTTATATTAATATTTTTATTCAAAAGAAAAATAATGTAATTTAATGACTAAAATCAAATAAGGTTCTATTAAAATATAAGTGTAGTTTTTAAAATTAACATTCTATGACTGTATTTTTATAGTAAGTTAAATCTGATTTACTATAATAATCAAAGGAAAATTTCAACAGCATATTTCAAATGAAATTCTTAATCAGTATTATAATCTTATTTAATTTGAGTATTCTACAATGTCTCAGTTATTCAAGTCGAGCTAATAAAAGATGTTTCAATTATGACCCACGAAGACGAGTCTCAATGAGTTTTTTATATCGTTCTATAGATTATGTCCTCTTACAATGGAAAAATTCACCTTATGATCACGTTTATGAAACACAAAAGAATAACAATGAAATTATCATGATAGTACACGGATGGAGAGCTAATAATATACATTTTACTCAACAGGATATAGTTCAATCTTTCAGATTCATTATTAACAACTGTATACTAGCTTATGGTATAGGTGGTAAGGTTCTTTTCTTAGATGGTTCTATTTATGTATCTATAAAACTATTAGCAAGAGATGGACTTTAATATCTTATATAACTAGACCTAACTAGTTTTTATTTCTGGTCCATGTGGTTTAGGGCACATTCATTATAATTTTCCTAGAGAGAGAAATTAAGCGTTTTCTTTAGTGATTTTCATAGGATTTTGAGTGCAACGTTGCATTGATTTCCTTGGGATCAAAATCTTGTAATTACTATGATTAAGTATATATCATAAAAAGCTTAGATCTAGATATCTTATGTTTAACTTTAACTTTAGCTATATCAAATGCCATTGCATACTGAGATATTTAATTTCAAACCTATGTCAATTAGCACCTCATCGCAGTAGAGGACTAGCAACCCAACTCCTGGCTTTGGCAGCCATAGTAACAGCCATGTAATAGCGAATGGCTGCCTAGGCCAACCTGCTAGTGCAACAGTTGTGTTTATATTTTTTTGCATTTAACCTTATAGGCTGGATTGATTTCATGTTTTCATTTTTGACATGGTTTTCATACTAAATATTGAGTACTTGAAGCTGCACTAACTCAGCTCCAGTTCCAAAATTAAACTTTTACCAACTTTCAAAGCAAAGTATCACATTTTTTTGTTTTTGGAAATTAAATGATATCTATTATGCATGCTAGCAAGAAGCAAAAATTAAGCATTGCCATAGCAATATTTAATGTATTGTTTATTAACAATGTAACAATAATAATTCGCATGTGGAAGAAGGTGGCCATAACCATTTGGGATGGGCTGTGGTTATGGCCATTAAAATTGCCACTATAGTTATGAACTAATAAAATACAAAAACTTAAGTGTAAAAAAATTATATAAATTAGATAAAATTTTACAAAATTGATTGTCAATTTAGTTATTTGCTTTTATATATAAAAACACATGGAAAAGAAAAAGGAAAGAAAAATTAACAATGTGAGGGCCAAGTGTACGACTACGATGTCGTATACTAATATTAGCGTAGTGGATTTTGGTAGCGGTCGGATTGGTTTCAATCCGGACCACTCGCTCCTGTATATAAGCTAGGGTTTTTGGGCTAATTGATATGCACATTTTTGTATTCCCTTTCCATATTCCATGCAGAGTTGAGGGGCACCTTTTGATTGTCCCTGGGGAGTGCTTGGATTTGGGATTTCGGTTTAGATC